ATAGAATTGCTAGAATCTGAAAGCCACGCTTTTACAACATACCTAACACACACGCCATCACGAAATCGACAAAGACACCCGGAAAACCAACAAGCTCCAAAGACTCACGAATGATATCCCACCTGAGGCAATCATAAGCCTTTTCCAGACCCACCTTCACAGCCATAAACCTTTTCTTTCCATTCGTTATGCGCATCGAGTAGATGAGTTCCTAAGCCATAACAATATTATCAATAATATGCCTACATGGGACAAAACTCGCCTGAGCCGGGTTAATATTTAAAGAAAGCACTGTCTTCAACCTCTCCGCTAATACTTTCGTCACCAGCTTGTAAAAAAAATTAAGGAGACTAATGGGACTGAAATGTTTCAAGCACGTCGGGTTGTCCACCTTCGGTATCAGCACAAGCAAGGTCTTATTTAAAGAGGGTGGAATCCGCCCCCTCACCAAATTTTACTAATTTGAGCACAAACTGAAGAGCCAACGTGATGCCATTGTTGCTCAAAGAATAAATAATGAAGTCCATCTAATCCAGGAGCTTTCAATGGTGACTTTTTTTATGGCCAGCAACACTTCCGTGTCCGAGATATCATGCCCGAGAATGCCTAGTTTGCTACTCTCCCCTTCAGAAAAAGCATCCTTAATTTGAAACCTAAGAGTATCGTCCGCCCTAGCCATGTAGATATTTTTTAAGAAAGTCACTGCCATCTATTGCAAAACTTTTTGAGCATCAACTATACTTCCCTCCCCATCTTTTAGAAATATGATATTATTTTTCCGTCTCTGATGTTTGACTAACCGGTGGTAGTAGGAAGTATTTCTATCTCTAAACAAAATCCAATCCCTCTGAGACTTCTGAAGTAACCATAACTCTTCTTGCAGAAGAACTTTATCCAGCCTGCCTTTAATTGTTGTTCCTAATTGAGAAGAAATGGGTTCCTCGAAAACTCACACTCTCGTTGGATCCCTCCCAATGCGTGCCAAGAGCCTTCGTTTTCTGTGAAAAATGTTGCCAATCACAATCGAGTTCCATTCTTTAGACTTGGATGCAAAACCCCTACCAAATTCCCATATGAGCCTTTAATTGACCACATTATCGCAACCAAATCTTCAAAACCTTTGTGAGTAAGCCAAGCAGCAAGGAACGGAAAGGTTTTGGACCCCCCGACCTTCTAGCCTTAGTGGCACGAACCAACAGAGGTGTATGATCCGAGTGAATCTGAGGAAGGTGATGCACTATACTGTTTAGAAACATATCCATCCAAGCCTCGTTGCCAACCCATCGATCCAGTTTTTTCTGCCAATTTCATTCTGAAACCACGTCATTTGTACCCCATCAATCATCAATTCCTGAAGATTGTTACTAAAAATCCACTCAGCAAAAAACGAGCTAATGTTGTAATTTCTTAATGATTCTCCTTGCTTTTCTGAAACCTGGAGAAGGCAATTGAAGTCTTTTCCGATAAACCATGGGTTGGTTACTCTATTCGCTAGGTCGATCGAACAACCCCATAAAGTCCACCTTATTATTGAATACGGGCCCGCATAGATAAAGGTCGCCACCAAAGTGTAAATCCTAACTCTGACGTGAGTATGAACATGTTGGCGGCTACACTCCAGCACTCGCAGGTCCACCTCCTCTTTCCATAAGACCCAGATACCTCCTGAGAACCCATTAGCTTCGATCATGAAAGATCGATCGTAATAATTCCTTTTTATAAAATTATTTGCACCCACACCACTAATATGCGGTTCAAACAAAGAAAAAACTTCTGGTTTATGATGTTGCTTTAATGTAATGAAGGCCCTTCTGAACTCGTCAGAAGCGCCCCCCCCCCCTCCCCCCCCCCCCCACATTCTACAATGCTATACTCATAAGACTAGTTATATAAAAGGAGGACATTGACAACCGTCAAAGCTAATGCTCTCACCGCGCTATCCCCATGCCTAAAACTGCTCCATGAGACTGTCTCTATATCCAACAGTCATCGGTTAAGGGCCCTAGTGTCCACCAACATTCTAGAATTTCCCAGATCCAACAACTCCACGTCATCACTCAGCCAGGACTGAGGTGGTGGGTCCACCACTTGGACCACCTAGTGCTTTAACGAATACAGAGTAGAAGCCACATGAGTCACTATGGACGTAAAAGCATTATGGGGTTGAGCCTCTTTATCAGACATCTGAAAAGAGCCAGAAACACCCGACCCTTGCACCCCCTGGCCATACCCGCAAATCCATTTGCAGTTTTGTTAAATGACTTAATACGGACACCCGAAGACTCCCCAGTAACAACCCGATTAGAGTAATTATTAGTTGTCCTAATACTATTCTTCTTCTTGCTAGTAACGGTCTGCCACTCGGTCTCTTTCCTTCTTTTTCAATTTTCGTCGTCCAAACCTCCTTGTTACTCGTGCCCGGAACAAAGACCCCACTGGAAGTGACATGCGTCTTATATTTCTCCCCAGTATTCTCTCCCAAAACACTGAATCTCGACCCTTTACTGACCGTAGTATAATTCCTTTTCTGAGCATAGCCCGAGTCCCCTTTTTTGGGCCAAGAAGACGACATACCGTTAGTTTTGGCCATTAGCCACGACCCATATAAACCCCTCTCTTATGTCTCAAGAGCAGCATGTCCAGTGCAGATGTTGGTTCATTTTCCCACTGTGGGTGTCACTCCGCCTACCACTCCATTCGTATCCCAGGTCTGGGAACTTCGACCCTCCACATTAGTTGGAACCCCGTCAGCAGGAATGGATGCAGAACGATCAGGACACATCACCGCGACATGACCACAGAAACCACAATTAAACAAATATCCGGGAGAAATTCATATTGCACACGCTTAAAACTTCCCCCGAATATAGAACCCGACACACAGTTGTTTGGTTAAATCTAACACCACTGCTAGACGAGCATATTTACCCCTCATTTGAGTAGCGGTCTGATGATCAATCTTTACCACTTCTCCAACAATTTCCCCAATCGTTTGTATTAGAATACTCATTTGTGAGTTATCCCACATTATTTAAATAGGGAAAATAAGCCTAACTTATAAGTCTAGTGGGCTACTCCTCTTTCCACCAATTGGTTTTGGGATGGAACCTCATTTAGGCTTCATCTGGGCTTTCTCTGCTTATGGTGCACTTCACGTGCATGGTACCAGACCCATTTTCCCCCATTTATTACTTGGTATCAAAGTCGATTCTATTGGGACCGTGCGACGACGTGCCCGTTTTTACCGGCTCAGTTGGGATTAGCTCCAAACTCAGTATATGGGCTTGGGCTTCTTATGAAAGACTTACAAGTGAGGAGGCGTATTAGAATATTTACTTGTGAGTTGTCCCACATCGTTTATATGGGAAAAATAAGCCTAATTTATAAGTCTAGTGGGTTACTCCTCCTTCTACCAATTGGTTTTGGGATGGAACCTCACTCAGGCTTCAATTGGGCTTTCTCTGCTTATGGTGCGCTTCACGTGCATGGAACCGCACCCGTTTTCCCTCCGTCTCTTACATGGTATCAAAGCCGATTCTATTGGGACCGTACGATGACGTACCCGTTTTTCTTGGCTCAGTTGGGCTTAGGCTCCCAGCTATATGGGCTTGGGCTTCTTATGAGGGGTTCACAAGTGAGGGGACGTATTAGAATATTCACTTGTGAGTTATCCCACATTGTTTATATAGGGAAAATAAGCCTAATTTATAAGTCTAGTGGGTTAATCCTCCTTCCACCAATTGGTATTGGGATGGAACCTCACTTGGACTTCATCTGGGCTTTCCTGCTTATAGTGCGGTTCACGTGCGTGGGACCGTACCCGTTTTTCTCCCTATTTCTTACAGTCCGAAACACCTTTTTGTGATACAGATGGACTGGCATACCTGGTAGACGGATCCACGTCATCAAGGACTTGATTAGGTTACAGGTGGCATCGAATTCTTCACTCCACGAATGAACATGGAGATAATACTTTTGGTACTATTTTGAAGTAATCCTGGGTCCTCCAACAAGCCGCGGACGACATCGTCGTGTGTGTTGAATTGAATTTGGAAATAACCATTCTCCAAGTCGATCATGTCGCAGTTGTTCATGAAAGGCCACAAAGTCACTAGCTTGCTATACAACAAGTGAGGAGAGAAAGTCGTCCCCATCACCTTAACAGCCACTACATTCTTCCAAGAGTGTAGTAGTTTGTCATACAAACACTCTTTCAAGCGAATATCTAGTGTCTGCCCTTGGCGGTAGACAATGACATACTCTCTGTACCACTCTCGCTCTCATCGTCTGATAGTAATTCAACGTGTGTGCGATTTTGGTTGAGCATATCCCAGAAACTCTGTCTCACCGGTGGCACTGCAACCTTCGGTGACTCAGGGCCAACAACACCATCGCCCCCTCCGACGTTGTCCTGTAGTCGAGAGCGCTTCAGAGAACGGGAATTTTCTAGCGGCTGGGGACTTACCTTATGTAATTCCAGAAAATTAGTTCGGCTCCTGTTAGGCGGAATAACCTTAAGGTCGTTCGGCGGGCTCCTATTGGTCGCCATGTCGCTTGTAGGGTTTTATGTCTTTCTGTTTTTTTTAAAAGCATAATTAGCTTTAATAATTATAAAATTTTTAATTAAGGTTTGCGTACCCAACGCACTCTTTCTCCTTTCTCTCTCTCTCTCTCTCTCTCTCTCTCTCTAGCTGCTTAATGTTGGAAAGTTCACAACTCTTTTCTCAGATTTATACATAATCAAGCAACCGCTGTTGAAATTTAGCTGTACAGAGTTCAGGAGGAGCAAATCTTGGAAAAAATGTGGTATTTTTCGAAGACCCATCATTGTTCTGAGCTGCACTGGGATTTCTTGATCTTCTGTTGTAGGCTCTAATGTTTCCTCCAAAAGGGCGTTCACGTCGAATGTCACAATGTGGAACTTGAAATCGTGAAATTTAAAAAAAAAATTCATTTACCGCGTATATATTCATGCATGTGTGCGTGAAAAAATACGAGCCATGGTGGACGCTGTATCTAGAGTAGCTTCAGAGCCCCAAAACCCCAAAGCCGCCGTTGCCGCCTCACAAGACGAAAAACCCATGACGCCACCAGTTTTGCAGTCGGAGAAGGACAACAACTATGGGGTTTTGCTTCCGTAACAAAACCAGAGAAAACCCAAAATCACTAGTCGTCTTCTCAAGATACATGCCCCCCTCAACTTCCTCGACCTCCACCTCTAATTCATCATCGATTTCCTTCTCATCCTCGTCTCCTCCTCTTTTTCTGTTTCCAGAAGTTTCCCTTCACCTTTAATCACGAGAAACTAAAAAAAAGCTTCATTCAACACGCCTTCTTGGCCCCAGGAGGTCTATCTCCGCCGGCTGCCGCCGGTCGATGCTGTTTATTCCATTTTTGTTACGTTTTTCATGTTTATTTTATCTTTCTTTTTCTCCCGTTTTAGGTCGTTTCTTTAGTTTCTAGTCTGTTTCGTGTTTTATTATGTGTTTTCCTTCATTTTGTGTCTTTAAGTGTTTTTCGTTTGTCTTTTCAGTTTTCTTTTCTGTTTTGTCGTTTTTGATGTGTAGGTCGGGAGCTTCGGGAAAATTTTCTCTTCAAGAAAAGTTGGTTTTGAGAGCACAATTGGATAGAAAGGTTCGTTAGAGATGCGTAGGAAAAAACAGAACTCAATGCCGAGTTCGGACGAGCCCAAACGAGCCCGAAACGTAAAGTGGCGCAGTGTAGTCCAAAGTCGCGACTCGTGACAATTTAGCGACTCGCGAAACTGTCGCGAGTTTCCCCACGTTTTAATGCAGTTGCTCTCTGTTTTTCTCGCGAGTCGCGACCCGTTCGCCCCTGTTTTTATTTTTGCTCGTTTTTACTCGTTTTAGCTTCATTATTCGAGCACTATATATCGAAACGATCCTTAGACTCGTGGAAAAAACCCCAATATTGTTTATTCACTTTCTCCTACTCAAAAACTTAGATTTGATCGTTGTATTGATCGCTTTTCTTCTTTAACTATTCCAGATTAAGTTGTTCATTGGATTCGACTCTCGATTCTCTGTTAATCGTATGTTTTCCTTTTCAATTAATCCTTGAATATGAATGCTTGGGTTCTTGAGATGAATGGTGTTGAATTTCATATGAGTAACTAATTCGTTCGCTAGGGATAGAGGATGATGATGATGTTTAAAATTTAATTGTGATTATCATGCTTGTTGAACGTTCAATTTATGCGAGTTATGCTTAACTAGGTTAGTAATTCTCGTGCTTGAATGTTGAATATTATCGAAGAGTGACACTTCGATTTGCAATTGATTTCCAACTGAATATGATTCGTTCTTGTGTGATGTGTTTAAATCCAACGAACTAGTAGATTAACAATCGTCTAGGATAATTAATCAACTCTTAGAACCTAAAGGGGAGGAGGTGATCGATCTAGGCTCGCATTAAATAGACTTGTTCGGAAACGTACTATCTATATATTGTGTGGTTTGTTTGATTTACCGTATATGTTATCCTCTTGTTACGAAGAGTTATTGAGGACTATCTCTAGACGTTAGGTTGTTCGAACCATTTAACCGAATGATCTTAGCTTGATATTTGCATTGGATAGAAAATCATCATCCCCGACTCCCTAGCTTCTCCATCGTCACTTGATTCTTATTTTCGGTTGATTTATGTTTTTGCATTATTTATAGTTCTTAGTTGAGAAACCATCCACCTTTATTAGTGTGTTTAGGCTTTATTTTACTCTTGTTTGTTATCAACTCTGAATCTAAATTTCGAACCGTCTTCCTCGAGAGATCGACCCGGGGAACGAATCTTTTGATTCGGTACTCGGTAAAAAATAAAAATAATTTGCTACAACAGACGCCTCAAGCAGCAAGCCTCAAGCAGCAAGACCCTTTCTTCCCGATCTCGATACCGCGAAAAACGGCCATATTCTTGAAATCTCGTCCGCCACCAGGCTCTTTGTCACTTCCACCCGCAGTTTATCTGTCTCTTTTCAAGGGGAAGCTTTTTCACTGCCCATCAGTAAAACCAAGGTGACCCCTAATTTGAACAACTCAAGAAAAGGGACCCCCGAGAGGAGGAGTAACAGTATCCCTTCAAGAACAAAGGTTGATGGAAGTGGAAATCATGTTAAGAATTATAAGCCATCTGATCAGCACCAACGTGGCTTGTCAGGAATCGGCTGGTCACAGCCACTCCATTATCAAGAAGCCTCGACTGTACTGTATAGGGCTGCAAACGAGTCGCTCGCGAGCACTCGAGTCAAAGCTCGACCCGAGCTCGAGTTTGACCGAACTCGAGTCGAGCTCGAGCGGCTCGAGCACGAACTCGAGTCGAGCTCGAGCCCATATTTTGCCTTGTCGAGCAGCTCGTCGAGCGGCTCGAGATATACGTTAATTACTAAAATACCCCTTATTATATATATTAACATAGGTGTTTAATGGTAATTTAACATAATTTTCGAGTCGAACTCGAACCGAGCTCAAACATTTTGATCTTGAGTCGAGCTCGAGCCTAAAAATTGAACGCGACGAGCTCGAGCAGCTAAAAAGAAAAACTCAATCTTGCTCGATAAAGCGACTCGTTTGCAACCTAATACTGTGGAGAATACCAATCTAACGGGATCCGTTAACCTGGCCCGAGACCTTCACAGGTCGTTGATCGACGAGAAGAGGCCTTCCCTTGATGGGAACTGAGTCTGCATACAGGTAATCCCTACGGGAGCTCGATTGTTAATAATAGATTATCAGCTCCCTGTGATCGAATACTGTCCGATTCAGACAGTGTCTCATCCGACAGCACCACAGGAGTCCAGGAGTGCAGCCCCAAAGAGCCTCGTGGGCTTGCTGTCTCGGCCTGTTTCTGGCAGGAGACCAACAGTCGTCTGAGGAGGCTTCAGGATCCGGGCTTGCCTCTGTCTACGAGTCCTGGCTCAAAACTTGTTGTGCTGCCCAAACTGAAGAGGTATTCAAGCGATGTCCCGTTGATGTCACCGTCGAGGACGCTTTCATCCCCCCGTGCGCCGACCCACAAGGCCTGCTTCGCCCCAGAAGCTCATGAGCCCGGTGGGCTCATCCCCTTTGCTGGCCCACAGCCGGTCATGGATGAGAAATGTGGTTAGCAAAATTTGTAACAGTTTTCTCGAGACACCTTCGGTACTTAGTTTTGCGGTGGATGTGAAGAGGCGGAAGTTGGAGAGAATAGGATAGTGGATGCATATTTGTTGAGGCTTTTGTACAATCGGCACGTACAGTGGAGGTTTGTGAATGCCAGGACTGAGGATGCCTTGCTTTTGCAAAATCATGGGGCGGAGGTGAGATTTTATCATGTTAATGCGATACTCTTTTTTGCTTTGGCTAAATGACATATGACCTTTTGTTGCCTATGAATTAGTAGTTGTGTTGTGGTGTTCTGTTTGTAGGATGATATGGTCGTCTTTGTAAGATATAATCCATGCAATTTCCTTGTTACTGCACTGCAACTTCTTTGCAGCTGCATAGCACTTTCATGACAGCCATTTTAGGCTGACTTTTCAGTTTAAGTAACTTCTAGGAAAGCCAATAGGGTAGTTGTTTTTAGTTCCTATAAACAGGGATACAGTTTTTATTTGTAAACATATGGAAAAACTGAATACTCAATACATTGAGTTGTTTACAATCTTCTTTTTCCATCCTTAAAGAGTCTGTTTGTGCTGGAAGAATTTTTGCTTACCCGAACAGTGCAGCCCAGCTGCAAACAGAGCAGCCAAGCTGTGAACGAGCAGGGATTAACAGTCTTGGTTCTTTTTTTTGGCATTTTTAGGGAATTTGTTATTGAGCACTGGAATTAATTTTCACATGTGGAAGTTGGGGAAGTCAAGAATGTGTGAATTAGTTGGATTGGCTTGTTGTAATTTGCTTTAGTGTTTATCCTGTAGTTTCATGTGTGACTTAGCTGTTGTGAATATAGAGCACATACTTACAGAAAACAAGATGTATAAAATAAATGGCATCCCGTTTGCTGTGCTCTTGAAGATAAGAGGTAGCCATGCAGGGTGCAATGCGAATGACCTATCAGAGGCTTGTGGCCAAATTCGAACTTTGATAACGTATCTGTAGGTAGGAAATATCTAATGGTCCCATTTTAACATTTTCTTTTTTTTTTTTTTTTTCCTCTGTTGTTTACTAACTATAAAGATTCACAGGAACTTGCCTTTTTGTCACATAAGCCTATAAGTATTTTCTTTGTTATTTCTTTGTTCTTTAATTATGTTCTGTTTCGAATGGCACGTAAATGTTGATTATTTGTGATCTCCTATTTTATTTGTTATCTTCTTGTGCTATGTGGAGCTATAACTAAACTGCACAGGAGTTTTACTATGTGATCAGCCTGTTATGGTTCATATATTGATTTGCCTTCTTTATTTTGTCAATTAAGTATCAGTCTCCGTGACAGAAAAATCTATGGAATGCTTGGATATCAATATCAGATCTTCGTGATACCGTGACCGGAAAAAGTCACAGATTGCAGTTGCTAAGCCAAAAGTTAAAACTAGCTTCCATTTTTACGAGGCAAGTAAGATTTATTCCCCTTTTTTCTCTTTTGTAAAGTGAATGCTTCTGAAAGTCTTTTGATTAAGCATTATCATTTTTTGACAATCTGATGACCTTGGAACATGTTTTCTGAACCAAATTTTCATTTTCTTTTTTCATTTCTTTTCTTTTCCTTCGGTTAATTTGAATTTAATGGTAACTGAAGTATTGACTGTATTCCTTTTTTTTTTTTTTTTTTTTTNNNTTTTTCCCTTTTTGTCCTCCTGTTGTAGGTGAAGTTGTTGGAAGATTGGGCTTGTTTGGAAAAGGATTAGTCGAGCACTTTGATTGGAGCTGTGGAAGCTTTAAAGGCTAGCGCTGTCCGTCTTCCGTTGTGGAAGGAGCTGTTGTGTGTACTCTACCTCATGTCTTTAGTCTAATATTCTTTTGTTTTATTGAATTAAATGCAATTACAAATTTATCTGTGGGTAACATAGAAACCAGAAATCGGAATCTGATGCACTTCTCAGTCCTCCTCCCCCCCAAACTTATAAACCAAATGAAGTTGTGCAAAATTAGAAAGGCTCGGTTATCTGGCCTCTGATGCAATTTTTTTATATGTATACAGGTAGAGGAAGTGAATTGTTTGGTGACCGAGCTTGCGGAAGTGACTTCTAAGGAGCGAGCTTTACTTGAGCAGTGCACAGGTTTTATTTCCTTGTTAGCAGCCATGCAGGTACTTCTCCATATCTTATTTAAAGAGTCACATTTATTTCTCTGACACTTGTAGTTTTTCACAAATTGCACCCAGTGAGGTGGGTAGTTTATAAAATAAAATACCAATTTCAAGTTGGTGTACGCAATATCAACAATGATGTCCTTTCGACTTGATGCAATCAGGTTGAAGACAGTAGCCTGAGAACGCATATAATACAACGTAACTGCGTGCGATGAGCATCATAAGAAACGTAGAACTGATTGTAGTGGATCCAAACTCTCTAGATGCCAACACAATATCCGACCAACCTTCAGACCTTACGGAGACGAGCGGTTTAACCAAGTAAGAACACAGAAGGATCGGAGTATTAGTCTTTTGCTTCTCCTCATCTTGCATTTTTGTAGGCACAACAAGAACTGGTTTCTTTAATCAAGTTCTCCGGTATTATCCAATATTACAGGAAAAAAAAGAAAAAGGTCTGTCAATCTTTTGATCATCTTGCTGATCAGCTTGTTTGTACACGTTTTTCCTTCTTTGTCTCGTCTACTTTTCATTTCTTTCTCGTTCGCGTTTCTCTTCTTTTACATGAGTGGAAAAACTGATGTATATAATTTCTGGTTTTCTGTAGAAAGAGGTTAGTGTAGTTTCACTTAGTTCCAGATTTTGTGCTTTTACATTCGTTATATTCTTTTTCGCTCGCCTTTCTCACCCATCTAAAGTCGATCTACAAACACACCATATAATCAAGAGCTAGATGCAAATTGCATTAGGAGACGGAGACAGCCATATAAATCAAAACAAAATCAAAAAAAAAAAAAAAAAAAAAAAAAAAAAAAAAACCAAAAAAAAAAAAAAAAGAAAAAAAAAAAAAAAAAAAAAAAAAGCAAAAAAGACCATCACAAATACAAAAAGGAAAAAATAAAATAGAAACCTGAGTCACGAGACCGAACGCCTGCCTCCCCTAGCGGGCGTGCATTTGGCCTCATCATCTGACGAGCCACTGTTCTCATCATCCCTCTCCTTTGTCGACCACACTTTCATAAACATTTTTCTCGTTTTTCCACACGTGGCCTTATCCTTACAGCCCCCGATCATGTTCCCTCTCTCATTCCCTTGGGCTGCAGCGCCGTTTCTTGCCTCTCTAAGTTCCTCCCCACCATCTTTAGATCTGAGGTCGTCGTTGACCAGCTTGGAGTGGTCCGGCGTGCTGGCCCCCGATCTTGTGGCGGATCGCATCTGCTCGAAGAAGAGGATTTGGACGGCCACTCGAAGAGGGAGCCTGTCGTTCTGTACGGCGTGGGTGCATGCAGCCGACGACAGCCTTCGGCAGTCCATCAGCCCACATATTCTCTTCCTCTCGCCCTTCGTAGTCTCTGGGTGGTTCTACATGGGAAAAACAATAGTAGTGGTAATGTTAATAATTTGGAACTTGAGTTAAAACAAATAAAGCAATAAAGTGTTAAGAAAGATTGGTATTACCAGTTTTACGGTTCCATTTTTAGTAAAATGGAAGACTTGAAAAATTCTCAAAATCATTTTAATGCGAATGAGAAAATTAATTCTAATTTGTGTATTGAAAAACATACCTTGAGATACGTATCAATCGCCCGATACAGAGCGTCATGCGAGGCTCGTGAAAAACCCGACAACATGTCAGCTGTGCTGACGAAAACCGAAAGGGGCAAATTTGGATCTTTAGCAATCTCCGCCAAATAGCCGTCGACAATCTTAGCTACCATCACCTCAGAAGCCTCTGACAACAATGTTATTTCGGGCGGCTGTCTAGTTTCTTCACTATCCTCGCTGCCATTCTCCCTGCCACGACTCTTGAAATGCTCGATCATTTTCTGCACCATGCCAACATCATACTTGGTTTTTTCCCCAGTAATCAATAAATCCTTCACACAAGCCTCCTCAAGCTGCCATCCAATTCTTTTCACAAGCTCCGCTTTTATATCCCCACCCAAATTCAAGGACGCGGCCGCTTTCAGCAGCTTGAGCAGGAATCCGCACAACACGCTGCCCCTTTCCTCTGGCAACAGTCGCACGATTGTCTCCAGCACGGCCTGGAACCTCTCGACGTCATTTTTCTTAATTACAATTCCACCCTTGCTTGAACTTGGCAGCTTCCGGTACGCGTACGCTTTCAGGGCCTCCCCAATCACATTGTTCGCGACCGACCCTTTATTTTTTATGGCGATGATCACCCGCTCGTAAAAATCTGTCCCCAGCCCACTTAGGTCCTCAGCCCACCAATCGTCAGGCACAGTCCGGGTCTGGTTGGGGCCTGGCCCGACCACATTTTCCTCGAAGAGCTTCTTCTGGTTGTATGTGTAGGACCAGTCCACCCTGGAGACATCGAGGGATGCCAGGTCAGCAATGGAGTCAATGCAGCGGTTGACTAGGTTGAGTTCCTCGGACAAGGGTACTAGATTTTGGGATGTCTTGAGGGCTGTAATGGAGTCCTTCCAGGTCTTGAGGACGGTGGATGAGAAGAAAACGTCGATTTTGTAGACGAGGTTGCCTTTTTCCATGTTCTCGTGCATTTGAAGATAGTAGGCCGCGCAACGGGCCGGGATGATGTTGTGGGCATTGAGACTAATGGTGATGTCGTAGCAGAACTTGGCGCACGTCTCAAAGGCCGCGGACCCCCCCGGAATATCATGAAAATCGACTTCTTTTCTGTTTTGTTCGTCGGCTGAGGACAGTAACTCCTTTAGTCGTTCGCATTTGGCGAGAAGTGGGAACTGTAAAATTATTCGAGTTTTTTCAAATGCTTTTCACTGATCAATGGGGAACTGAGAGTTGAAATCAATCTGAAAACGAGAGCATTGGCAAGATATGTCGATCTTACCTTGTGAAGATGGAACTTCACATTTGCTACATTGACTACAATGTCTGTCGCCAAATCAGTAGCAACACACCTGCATTGAAACAAAACTTTTAGTTTGAACTACCGTGCTGCTAGTGCTAGTACAACATTGCGGCCAATTTTAAAGACGAACTCTTAAAAAAACATCAATTTTGTCGAAACAACAGACAGTGTCAGGTCGATCGAGAGATTGGCCTAATGATCAATTAGCTATAAAGGTCAGGACAAGATAATAGTTGCCGATACCTTACATTGTTTCCATCTCTGTGAAAAGAATCAGGTTTGGATCCAAGCTTCATAAACTTCATCGTTACAACTACTAAAAGGAGAGAAGCGAAATCTCGATTTCGTATATCTTTTTTGTCTTCTTTTTTCTTCTCGTTCACACGACCAAACTTGCCTGCCAAGCCGATCAACTTAATGTCTTGAGTCCTGTAAATGTGAAGATGTAAAATGGTTCAAATGTTTTAACTCAAAATCTTCGGTTACAGGTCATTTTCTTGAACTTGAAGAAGAAAACAATGGCATTTTCTGATTACAGACAACTCCTTGAAGAAGAAAGAAACAATGGAATCTCAAAGCTCGTGGGCATACAGAGATATGCCTGATTCTTAAGAATAGACTGTTTCCTTGTCCGAAGGCAAAGCTCGTGGGCTCCGAGCCAATCCTAGTCAGCACGAGACACTTCATACAGGCTTCTACACTAGATTATTCCCCCCAAGAACCAGACAGAGAGAGAGAGAGAGAGAGAGAGAGAGAGAGAGAGATGTCCTGAAAATGGAGATTATTACCATCTTCAATCATATTCTATTATGCTCTATAGGATTTAATCAACTCTAGCCAAAATTTAATTTTTCATATCCAGTTTGTGCTACACAAAATAAAATTGAAGTAAAACTACAAAATTTCAAATTATTAAAAAAAAAAAAATGAATATGTTTATTAATTATATATATGGTTGAACACTATTAAACTTTGTGCATAGGTAGCCTGATTTTGCATGTCAATTATATTTTTATTAAGCATCTGCATGAGAAATGGTGTGTGCACATGCCAATGTTCCTGCTTAAAAATAATTAACAAAAATAGTATGAAAATAAGTAAAATCTGGTTGAGCAATTATAATTATTGACATGCAAATTGCAATTAATTGCATTAATTTGCATAAGCTCAATAATTAATTATTGATAATTAATTATGATAATAAATCATTTTTTTTACAAGAATTAGATGCCCCAATCATTAACAAAGCTGGGGGTTTCCTAATTCCATGTTCTGGTATTGGTCACATGAAGATATATAGAGATATTGAAAGATAATGGGCATTTTCTTTTAATATTATTTTTGGGTACTGTATATGGTTCTTGTTGTTATAAAATGCAAGTAAGATAAAGAACACAATATAAAAATCGGATATCTATACTTATATTAAAAGTTATACTATTTACTAAATGTAGTATGTAGAATAGTCAACTCTAATGAATGATTTGCTATTTTTATCAAGCATTTAATTAATGCATCTAATATTTTTGGTATGCAAATCAAATTAGCATCTAATTAGTTCCTAAAATGTTGGGTATGCAATATTAATTTAGGAATATCCATGTAGTTCCTAAAATGTTGGTATGCAATACGTAAAAGAAGATTTTTTAATTTTTTTAAATATAAAATATTGCAACACGTAAAATTATTCCAGTTATTTTTTATTTTATTTTACATATAAAATCTAATCAATATTTAATGCATCCTACAAAATTGAATTTAGTTTAATTCTCCATACAATTGGTTGTAACTTTTTCAGTTATACTTTTTTTATTTATTTATTTTACACTTTAAAATTTATGAAGTTCTCCGAAAATACCAAATCAAATGATTTATGAAAGTTTTTTTTTTTTTACAATTTTAAATCTATATAACCAGCTTAAAAAACTCATCGCATAGATATGGATGAGTTTAAGAAAATTTCATAACACAGCTTATAAAATTCCATCTCCACGAGTCAAAAAATCCACATCCATCATCTATCGTAACAACTTTAAAGGTAAATAAATAAAAGTCTAATTACTACTACAAATCCATTATCTATATAGATTTTTTAAAAATCTAAATTTCACATGTCTAATTACTAATATTTTAGATACTTTTAAATATTATTTGTGTAAATTTTTTTACACATTTGCTCTCTCTAAAATATATAAATATATGGAGGTTAAATGAAGAATTTTTAGACATATTTTCCTTACGGGTAGTTTGGAAAAATTTAGGTAGCTTCAAACATTATTTGTGAATAATATAGAATATTTTAGATGCTTTTATAGATGTTATAAAATATTTTAAGTATTTTTAATATTTATATATCACACTTAAAAAGAATAATTTGCCAAAATAAAAACATTAAATACACATTGTAAATGTTAATAGAAACATTTTTCAGTGTTCGTCTTTGATTTTGTCAAAACAAATCTCATAAAATCGGTGAAGTCAAAATTTGTACGTAAAGTCTATCTATGCTAAAAAAAGGTAGATTCAAAATTCTTTATCTAATTTCTTCTTTTCTTTATCTAATTTCTTCTTATTATCTAATTGTATAGAAATCTGTTCTGATTTTGTTCAATCCTCTAATTGTATTTGTATTATACCCCATCAAATCGGTTTAACAAAAAAAAAAATCTCATAACATCCGATAAGTAAAAAAAAGTACGTAAAATCTTTACTAAATAAAAAAAGCTTTATTTATTATCTAATTGTATGGAAATCTGTTCTGATTTTATAGTACGTACTACAAATTGTGCACCCGTGTTCAGGAGCTACTTAACGGCCAAGCTCTGTGGAAATAACTCATTTAATGCTTCTGTCCCGTGCATACAGTATGTATTTGTATTACACATACTAGAAAATTGTGCACCCCGTGCATCACCCGTGTTCACATTTTGGCATATTACAGATCACGTACTATATATATCCTGTACATTTTTCTTTATTCATTTATATAATTATAAGACTTGATAAATGACCTTAATTTTGTGTACCCCGTGTATCGCACGGGATCTGTACTAGTAAATTATAACAAGCGTTTCTTTCTTTCTTCTTCTATTTTGCACCAAATATTATGATCTCTTTTGGTCCTTTTATAGACAAATTTTAAGACCTCCAATCATGCATTGACACACAATTCAATGCTTATTTTAATAAAATAATTCAAATGATAAGTTTATTATTAGTAGTAAATTCCACTTATTTATAATACTTCCCCTTGTAATTACCACTATTAAATGTGCATTTATGATGCCTCGATCGCTAAAAACCTTATCTGGAAAAACCTTGTGGGAAAAAATTGAGATAAGGAAAAAAGAGTACAACCGTACATACTCCCCCTCGAGTAATCATCTGTGCAAATCCCGAAGATGCCGCATTCCAATATTGTGTACGTGCTTTCGAAATATTGTCGTCGGGAGTGCCTTCGTAAATAAATCTGCTGCATTATCGCTTGATCGAACGTATTGAACTTTGACTTGTTTGTTCCTTTCAAGCTCTTGAACATATGAGAAGAATTTTGGCGGGATATGTTTAGTTCTGTCACTCTTAATGTATCCTTCTTTGGTTTGAGCGACACATGCTGCATTGTCTTCGTATATCACTGTCGGGTCCTTATTGTCCGATAGTCCACTGGCTTGTTGAATATGTTGAGTCATGTTTTTGAGCCAGATGCTTTCCCTAGTTTCTTCATGAAGTGCAATGATCTCAGCATGGTTTGAAGACGTTGCAACTAATGTTTGTTTCTGGGATCACCAAGAAAATACAGTTCCACCAATCGTGAAAACGTAGCCAGTTTGAGATCTTGCTTTATGGGGGTCTGATAGATATCCTGCATCTGCAAAACCAACCATTTCATGTTTTTTTATCATTGGAGTAAAACAATCCCAAATCGGTTGTCCCTTGGAGATAACGGAATATATGCTTGATTCCATTCCAATGTCTCCTCGTAGGTGCCGAGTTATATCTTGCTAATAAGTTGGTAGTGAAAGATATATCTGGTCTGGTGCAATTAACAAGATACATAAGAACTCCTATTGCACTCATATATGGTATTTCAGGACCAGGTATTTCTTCATCTTCTTCACAAGGTCGAAATGGATCCTTTTCGACATCTAATGTTCGATTGACCATTGGGGTACAAAGGGGATTAGCCTTGTCCATATTAACGTTTCAATATTCTTTTAGTGTAATTAGATTGATGGACAAATATCCCATTTTGGACTCGTTCTATTTGTAAGCTGAGACAATATTTGGTTTGTCCGAGATCTTTCATTTCAAACTCACCTTTCAGTAAAGTGACTGCTTGTTGGATTTCATTTGTTGTCCCAATAATATTAAGATCGTCGATATAGACTGTAATTATCACAACTCCATCTTGTGATTTTTTTATAAAGACACACAGGCATATTTGATTATTTATGTACCCTCGTTTGAGCAATTGTTCACTCAAACAATTATACCACATGCGCCTGGATTGTTTCAAGCCATACAATGATCTTTGCAACTTTATCACACATAACTCTTTAGGTTTGGACTTTAGTGCTTCGGGTATTCTAATTCCTTCTGAAATTTTCATATAAATGTCAGCGTCTAGCGATCCATATAAGTAAGCAGTCACAACATCCATGAGACGCATCTCAAGATTTTCATGGATGGCAAAACTAATCAAGTATCTGAAAGTAATTGCATCCATAACAGGGGAATATGTTTCATCAAAATCGATCCCAGGCCTCTGGGAGAATCCCTGTGCTACAAGGCGAGCTTTATACCTTGTGATCTCATTTTTCTCATTTTTTTTTCTGACAAAAACCCATCTGTATCCAATAGGTTTTATGTCTTTTGGTATAATAGTAATCGGTTCAAAAACCTTTCGTTTATTAAGTGAATCTAACTCGGCTTGAATAACACCTTTCCACTTGTCCCAATCATGTCTTTTCTGACATTCAATCATAGATTTTGGTTCAGGATCCTCAACTTCTTTGTCAATTTCTTGTGATACCATATATGCGAATGCATCATCAATATTTATGGTCTCATCACGTTTCCAAAGATTCCCATTGTTTACGTAATTGATGGAGATTTCAATATTTTCATTTCATCCCAAAATTTTTCCATCATCTCGATTTTTCAAATTTGAGTCTTCTTTTCTTTCGAGGATTCTTATCTTTAGACCCAACCGGTCTTCCTCGTTTTAAGCGTGTCTTTAACTCATTTGGCATATCGTCACTTGCCATTTTTTTTGGGATCTCAATTCGAGCAGGGGCATTTACGG